CCTCCCAAGTAGCTGGGACCACAGGCGCCCGCCACAGTGCCTGGCTATTTTTTGGTTGCAGCCATTATTGTTGTTTGGTGGGCCCGGGCTGGATTCGAACCTGCCACCTTAGGTGTATGTGGCTGGCGCCTTAGCCGCTTGAGCCACAGGCGCCGAGCCTATCTGGGAGATATTTAAGAGACATTATTGACAGGATGTGGTGGGATAGCCTAGGAAAATGGAGGAATCAACAGATTTCTGACCTGGTGGATAATGGAGCCCTTTATTAGACAGGTAAAAACAGTAAAAGACAGTGGGAAACACATTTGAAGGGAAGATGATGAGATCCTGAGTATAGCTTGGAAGATGTTAAATGGGGTGTACTGTGAGACGTCCCCTCAGAGGCACCTGCCAGGCAGCTGAGTGGACGTACAGGACTGCCTTTGGAAGAGACAGTTGGGTTCTGGGTACAGATGTGAAAGTTATCAGCATAGGGATAGATGGTGGCTGAGAAGCAGCAGGTAGAGAGAGAGAGGAAGAAACTGTGATGCCAGTGCCATAGGCTGTTGGGAAGTAAGGGAAAAAAAATGTGAGATATACCCCATTATAGTTTAGTAACCAGAGCTGACTGGTAACCTCCAAGGGGACAATTTCAGAGAGGTGGTGGGAGCAAAGGCGAGATAGACAACAGAGCCTGCTGGATACTCAGCAAACCCAGTTCCTCCTCCTCTGAGCACTTGGCTAAATCTCATTTCCCAACTTTCCTTATCGCTGGATGAGGCCACATGACTGTGTTCTGGCCAATGATCTGTGGGGGAAATGATGCACTGTCATCTCCAGAACATGGCTCCTCACCCCAAACCCCATGGACCCTCTCCTCCCCAGCCTCCCAGCCAGAGTTGAGGACCTAGGGGACTGCAAGGCCTTGAGGGCACAGCGCAAATGGGAGCCAGGGGACTACGGACGATGATGTGGAGCCAGGGGACTATATGCTGTCCAGCTGGACAAGGCTGAAGGAAAATCAGCCACGGACACCCTAAGGTTAGCAGCAGGACAGAACAGCTAATATAACAGCAGTGACTGCAAGGGTCAGAACAAGTCATCAAAAAGTCAGGGCAACTAGAAGTACCCACAAGCCTGGAGAACATGGAAGTTCTGCAGGCCAAGTTGAGACCCATCACTCCCTGTAAGGCCAGAAAGCGCTGGAGTTGAACGTCAGCAGCTGCAAAATATCTGCTTGTATAAGGCATTGCCTGGCTCTGAGTCCACTGGCAGAGACTGGCTGCTCACCTGGACTGTGCAGTCGTAGCCAGCCTTGTGAGCTGCTCACAGGACACGCCGCATTAGACACCAGCAAGCAGGACCCCACTTATCTCTTTGTTGCATGGCTTCAGCCTCAGAGGATCAGGAGTGAGCCCATTTGAGGTCAGTCTGGTTCTGCTCACCCATGGATAACCTTGAGTAAGTCCTCCCGCCTGCTCCCTTCCCCCCCCAACTACACCTGAGCCCCTCATTTGCAAAGAACAGGGGTAGGAATAGATCATTCGAATGTCTCTTAAAATCTTAAGATTAAGGCTCAGCGCCTGTGGCTCAAGTGGCTAAGGCACCAGCTACCTACACCTAAGGTGGCAGGTTCAAATCCAGCCCGGGCCTGCCAAAAACAACGATGGCTGCAACAACAACAAAAAAAAAATCTTAAGATTAAAACCTGCATCATTTCCCTGAAAGAGCAACTTTCAGGCAGCTTTTTGCCCCTGAGCTCCCAGCAGGCATGAGCCCCATTCTCTTAACGGCAGCCTCCCAAAGCCTCTAACCAGAAAAATGTTGCAGCCTATCGCCTGTGTGTGAAGGTCTTCCTGAGAGGACCAGGCAGACCTCCAATAGGAAGGGGAACTCTTCTCAGGAATGGGCAGGCTTTCAGGGAGTAGCTGGTATTAATATTTGTATGGAGTCAGCAAGTCCTTCACCCCTGGAGGGGCCACATCTATTATATTTTTCTTTCTTTTCTAACCATCTACATTTACAAAACACTTCCCTTTCTGTTCTCATTTCTTGTTCCCTTTACCATGGGATGGCTCCACCCTCCAGAGCCACCTCTCTTCTAGGGAAAAAGAGAATTGGAGGAGAATGGGGAATGTCTCCCCAATTTGTTTTCCTTGGTAGGCCCAACTTCACCCTGGCTTGGTCCTGTTTTTCTTGAAAGAAGTAAATTAGACAGACAGGACTTTTGAAGGGAAATTCCTCCTCTTCTCACCTACCCAAATATTTGTTTGTTTAAATTAAATAAGAGACAGATCTTCCCCCGCTCAATTGTGATTCAGCCTAATATGTAAAGTTTTTCCTCTGCTGTGCCTACTTACGGAATAGGGGGTGACCTGGGAGTGTACAGATCGGTTGAGAAAACCAAGCATGGGTGAAAGCTGATTGAGATGGAGGGCTATGCAAAGCATTAAACAAACACAGGTCCTGTTCAAACCCAGCATGAACCTCAGTGACTTCTGAAAGCCTAAGAGTTACAGTCACATTGGCCAGTGTTCTGCCACATCCACTAGCAGTCTCTCTCCCATCTACAATAGATGTAGCTGTCAGTGAGGCACCAGGCAAGGAGGCAAAACCATGAGTCACAAACAACATAAGGAGGGACAGAAGATGACCTTTCCAGGAAGAGGAAATACATTATGCCTCTAAATTCCAAGAACTTGGAGAAAGGAGAGAAAATAATCATCTTTATTATCTAAATTCTAGAGGACATGATTCTGCATGATAGCAGAACCTACGAGCAGACAGAGTGGATGAAAAGTCACTCCTGAGGGTAGCTTTCCTGACATATCTGCCCACGCACTCTGGGAGTCGGGCACTGTGGGTGCTGTGCTGTGTCCAGTCTGCAGGAACACAGCCGGCCCCAGAGCTCCCAGGAGGAGGCCCAGCCTCAGGTCCCCGTGTACACAGCAGAATTAGATCAGCCATGGCTCCTCGCTGGGCAGCAGAGTATTGTCGGGGCTTCATCGGGGCAGGCAGCCCGCCACGGGGTCCGGCCGCGGAGGCACCGGCACAAAGTTCATGGGGCAGAGCAGCAGCGGGCATATCTTCTCATGCTCCCTCAGCGCCTCGGTCAGGTACTTCAGCTCCTCCGTCAGCTTCCCAATCTCTCTCCGCAGCACCGTGTTTTCTTGCTCCAGGCACTCATATTCCTGGGAAGACAGAGAATGGGCAACATTGGTTCTGAAATTGTATTCCCTCTCTCGGTCCTCCCAGAAGCTCTAACCTGCCCGGCGATATTCAGCTCTTGCTCAGTAAGCTGTGTCATTATGCGCGTCCCCTCCACTACTCGGACTTGTTTATTTGCTTAATGTCTCTCTCCTCTCACTAGGATAAAAGAATCACCAGGGCAGGGCTTTGTTTTATGAATCGATTTTATTGCGGTAGAATTTACATAAAATAAAATGCATCAGTTTTAAGTGCATAATTCAATGAGTTTTGACAGACGCATCCCTACGCAGATCAATGTACAGAACCAGAATGTTTCCATCGCTGCAAAAGTTCCCTCATGCCCCTTTTCAGTCAGTCCCCTCAACTGCTAATCCGCTTCCTGAAGGTGTTGGTCGGGTTCACAGCTATATCCCCAGCACCTAGGACTGTACTTGGAATCCAACAAATGTTTGTCGCTTGCACAAATAAATGAATGAAAACATCCCTTGCCTTGGTTTTGCTTCAGTACTTATCTGTTAAATCTCTACTATATCAGGGTTTACAGCAGCTTAGAATTGGAGGGGATCACAGAGACCCAAACCACACAATGTAGAAACCTTCCCCATATAATTCTAACTCAGACATCTAACTTGTGCTGGGCACTCCCTCCTTCTAAAGACAGTCTTTGTCATTTCTGAGCTGCTCTGTTAGAAAACTCCTCTTTGGCTCAGTGCCTGTAGCTCAGCAGCTAGAGCACCAACCACATACACCAGCCCTGGCAGGTTCCAACCCGGCCCAGAGCCTGCCAGACAACAATGGTAACTACACTAAAAAAATAGCCAGGCACAGGGGGCAGGTGCCTGTAGTCCCAGCCACTGGGAGGCTAAGGCAAGAGGATCGCTGAAGTCTAAGAGTTTGAGGTTGCTGTAAGCTGTGACGCCATGGCACTCTACCGAGGAGGACATAATGAGACTCTGTCTCCAAAAAAAGAAAGAAAAAAAAGAAAACAAAACTCCTCTTTGTACTGATCTAAAATCTCCCTATCCTTCAGACCCACCTGTGGGCTTGGTTGTATCTACTGGAACCACAAAGAGTAAATCCAATACTATTTGCAACACCACAGTTCTTGAAATGTTAGGAGACAGCCCTGCACCACTTCCCCTTAGGTGTTCTCTGAGCCCAATTCTCTTAGGTCCTCTGAGTTCCCTGTGTCAAAATTTGCAGCCCCTCTGCCCTCCTGGAGGTCACCCCGACACACTCTAATTTTCCATAACCTCTGAGAAAATGCCACTCCCCAAGTGCAATGCATGATTCTGGGACCTTGTAAAGGGGAAGCGCATGGAGGTGGTCTCCTATGTGGCCTCCCACTGAATTTCACTCTGTTCATCTGGACATCTTGAGCTCAGCAAAATGTTTTTGGAATCTTGATTGTGTCACCTCATGGACGTGTGGTCCCACACAATTTCAAGCCACCTACTACCTTGATGGACAGGTCTTCCTTTTCTTCATCCAAGTCATTAATAAGTTATACAAAACATAGCCAATAGCAGACCCTCTCTAGACTGGCAATCTTATTTAAATCTTGCTGAAATGTTGTTTTCATTCATTTCTAGCTTCCCAGATAGGCTTTGTTGTCCCATGCACACCATGCCTTTTCCGAGCTAGGGATATAATCTTAATACCCATCACACTTTCTCTCTTATTAGTAATTTTTAAGAAATATCACTAAAGAAGTCCACTCTTTTTATAGCCCCTGAAGACACATGCAAATTCTCAACCCTGCTGCTTGGCAATGCAGTTCTCAACTGGACTGCCTTCTTCCTTTTCTGTGTGGGCCCAGTGCAAGCCCCACTCAGGAAGGTTTCCCTGATCACAGCACCTACAGGAAGCACATATTTTACTACCTGTTCTGTTCAGTCTTGTATCATGATCAATCTCACTCATATTAAATAGTGTCTCTCTCCACTGATCATAAATGTATAGCCCCCAGCAGCTTCTGCTACCTTCTGTGGTCCCCTTGTCTGATGGCCTATAGGACCATCATCTATCTGCTCAGTGGCACCCCTGCCTTCATCCTTTGATTTCCTTTTTTACCCCTTCTTCCCCTCCCTCCTCCTCTGGCACCCTCTTGCTTGTTAGAACTGAGGGATCCAGGGGGCTACATGCAGAGTCCATGGAGCCACTCCCCAGACAGGGCTGGAACACTCTCCAGGGCAGAAGGCCTGTTCACACCTTCTCCCTGCAGGTTGCCCTGGTCAGTCTGGCTTCACTGGGGCATGGGCCTCATTCTGCCTTCAGACCTCCTCCCTGCCTCCTCAGGCTCTCCTCTGACCTCTGACAAATTCTAGTCCTGGAGTTGGAATTCAGGGTACAAACCCAGTAAAAAGCCCTCCATGGGCAAGGGGTGGGTCTGGATGGGAGGATGGGGAAGGAGGCTTGGGCATCGAGGAAGCCTGCAGGCAGCAGAAGGGAGAGAGGCCACATGTGCATACGACACACACCCCACCCTGCAACTGGAAAGGTCCTCTGCTTTCAAATGAAATAAGAGAGTGGATCTGAATGGTTCCAGCAAACTAAGCTTGTAACTAGATTCCAAAGAATAGAAAGCTCTCTTCTTTGGGGAGAATATGCCAAACTGCCTTTCCACAACTACTGACACTCTGAGCTTTGTGTCCGGAAGCTGCCACGAAGAGCCCTGAGGCCTGATGCCTTCCTGATACCACTGCATTCTCTACACCCCAGCTCAAAGAGTCTTCAGAGCTGCCATCACAGGCCACCAAGCAGGAAAGGGATTTTATTCTTTGGATTTAAGTGTTGCTCATAAATCTGCTGAGGGACTTTAAGCTGAGAGAATAAAAAGAAGAGGCAAAGTTAAATCTGGTAAGACCCGCTCTCTAAAATTGAAAAGAAGAGTAGAGAGAGAAGGGAAAAAGGCCAGAGAACACAAATGGGAACCAAGGGGAAAGAAGGAAACCCACTCCACGCTGAGAAGAAATTACTGGATTTAACGCAAACAATAAATAAGTACAGAATGTTAAACCCTTTGTTACTTCTAGAGAGACAATCAGTCTAGTTCAAATCCTGCGGAGTTTCGACTCCTTTGCTGCAGGGAGGTCTGTGGTTACTGCGCGGCCTTCTGTGGGTATTGTGCGGGACACAGTTTTAGAGCAGAGATCTAAAAATTGGAGGTGGTGAAATCACTGCAAATCCCAGGTCTGCCTCAGAAATTACACTGCCTAGGGCAGTTTTGACAATTTCCAGGGGACATTTGTCAGCATCTGGAGAGAGTTTTGGTTGTCACGGTTAGGGGTTGAGGGGGTCCTACTACATCCAGTGGGTAGAGGCAGGGATGCCGCTCGATGTCCTGCAGAGCACAGGACAGCCCCACCCGCCAGCCTCCAAATGTCAGCAGTGCTGAGGCTGAGAAACCCTGCTCTGGGCATCTGAGAGTGGCTGCCCGGGGATTGATTGAGGAGCTGTCTTGGGAGGTACTCAGGGTCCTGGATGCCTCTGAGGTAGAAGACAGGGTCAGGGACTGGTAAAGAAGTTGATGTGGGTACCCCAGACCAGAGATGACAATTCAGGAGGGAAGGACAGATGGGGTAGGCAAAGGCATTGGAACAGTACCAGCCACTCCCAGACCCCAGTTAACCAGTTAGAAAACTGAAACTGAAAGGTACAGAGACTTTTCCAAGGTCACACAGACTTTGGATGTGATCCCTGACTGCAAGGTCAATTGCCATTCTCATGCAACATCATCAATTCTGCTTTCGGAGGCTGTGCCTAGGCCTGAATTTCCCCATGGTGATTGCCAGAAGTAAGGCCATAAGAGCTTACTATTTTACACTATTCCCACGCCTTAGGTAATACACTTCCCAGCAGAAAAGTTGTGTCACCAACAAGGGCTGGACACAGGAGTGTCATAATCAGTTTCTAAATCAAGTACTGACGTAAAACATTGTCTTGGAACAAACAATACCTGAAAAAAACGTGGCAACACATACTACCACCGTATTTCCCAAGTCATTTGTCAGTTTGTGACATTTGGGGCTCTTGAGGATGGCACTGCTGCTTTCCTTTTCTGACTCAAAATTCTTTCTCAGTCTTACACCTGTGGGTGCCTGGTCGAACCAGTCTGACCCACTTCCGAGCCACTTTTCAGCTTCTCTTAGAGACCTTGACTGTTCACTTGGGCTCTGATTCGTAAATGTGGACCCAGGCACGCACCTAACGTTCAGAGATGAATGGAGGTCAAAATCCCCAGGAGAGGTGTAAGCAGGCTAAAGAGATGACCTGCCACCCACCATGAACACAGAGGTGCACAGACCTGAAACTGCAGTCTCACCTCTGCTACGCTGCCCTGAGTGACGGGAGCTCTTCCCTGAAAGGTCCCCTCCTCCCCTCCTGGAGGTCCTGCTTCATGGGCAGTCCTCCAGAGGGCAGGGGGGTGGCACAGAAACTCAGAAGAGCTGGAGCTGGAGGAGGTTTTTCAGTGTTGTGGGCGACAGAGGCTCAGGAAGAAGTGGGATGTCTCAGTGGGGTGGAGGGACTGAAAAGTAGGAATTTTAAACAAGACTTGCTCTGAGTCTAAATAGTCCCCCTCATGCCATTCAGCAAAGCAAAGTAAAGCAAGTAAAGAGCTGGAGTCACGTGGAGGTATTTAGGAATTCTACCCCATGGGGTGGGGCAGAGGGGCAAATGAGTAAAGCCCTTCTGATGGGCTACTCTCTCCAGGGAGGTGACTGTTTTCTAGGCCCCGCAGTGCCTCCCAGTGAGCTGGCCTCACTCCAGCTTTGCAGACGTTTCCACGAATGGTGTCATGGCCTGCGAGCCCCAAGGGTCCCAAGTGGCTATTTGCTGTGATAGATAGCAGTGTGCTAGGCATTCTGCACACAACTCACCAGAGCACAGTAAAAATGATCTTTACCCATTTTTTTTTTTTTGGCTGGGGCCAGGTTTGAACCCACTACCTCCGGTATATGGGACCATGCTCTACTCCTTTGAGCCACAGACACCATCCCCATTTTTTTTTTTTGAGACTCACTCCATCACCCTGGTTAGAGTACAGTGGCATCACAGCTCAAAGCAACCTCAAACTCTTGGGCTCAAGCAATCCTCTTGCCTCAGCCTCCCGAGTAGCTGGGATTACAGGCACCTGCAACAATGCCCAGCTGGTTTTTCTATTTTTTTTTTTTTTTTT